CAACACACATCAATATTATCCACGCCCTCGTGAGCCTCCCAGGAGAACCGATTTCACCTATATTGGTAAATTTTATTCCAGTTTGCTTCAAAAGTTAATCCAACTGGGTCTATTGCAACATGTGCCTCCCAACCGCCAGAATCACGAGTCCCCATCATACAGGGCCAGAACCAGATGTGCTTACCATTCAGGAGTAGAAGGCCATAATACATAAGACCGTTGGACCCTCAAAAGGGCGGTTGAAAGCTTGATAGAAGAAAAACAAATTATGCTAAGGGACGAAGAGATCCCTAATGTGACTAACAATCCATTACCAGCTCACAATAATGGTCCAGTCATTGGAATGATTTGTGATGATGAAGAGTTTGATCCAGCATTGAAGGCGATTATTGCTATCGCCGATTCAGAGGCAAGACCCAAAATAGCGGTGAAACAGGCCAAAACCGAGAAGAAAGTCATCCCGGTTCCTCAAGCTATTGAAACAAAGACCGGGGAAGAACCTTCTAAGAACGTGGTTCTCTATGTTCCCAAGGTTCCGAGAAAAGAACAGCTCATCCTCAACACTCCCAAGAAATTCGAGGAAAGGAAGACTACGCTGAATGTACCAAGATTGTATGTGAAAAAAGGGACCTATGTAGCGCGGGGGCCGATAATTTAACCAAGACTGACTAAGCCCGTGGTTATCAGTCGCGCACCACAGAGTCCTATGAAAGATCCCACCGCAGTCCCCTGGAACTACAACAGAGCTGTGATTACATACAAAGGGAAAGAGGTCATGGGAGAAGTGAATGAAATGAATCAGTCTGGGAAGTACCATAACCCAGAAAGGCTAAAGAAGTCCAAACTGAATAGGGATAAACGGTTGCCATCCAAGAAGCCTGTAAGCAATGGGGAAGTAGAAGATTTCTTTAGAAATATGAAAACTTCATAATGTGCAATAGTTGACCACTCCGGAAGACTCCTTCCCAGGTCTCACTCTTGTCTCTATTGTTGAGTTCGGATGAACACCAGAAAATGCTCCTGAAAACACTGAATGAAGCATATGTCCCGATTGATACTTCTGTTGAACAATTGGAGAGAATGGTAGAAAGATTCTTTGAGGTCAATAGGATTTCCTTCAGCCGCGATGATTTGCCCCAGAGAGAGCCGCCCACAACAAAGCCCTCCATTTGACTGTCAAATGCGAGGGCTATTATGTGAAGAGAGTGATGCTAGATGGTGGTTTCGGGGTTGATATTTGCCCTCTCTCAACACTCTAGCGAATAGAGATTAGAACAGAAAGAGTCCGGGCTAACAACGTCTGTGTGAGAGCTTTAAATGGGGTCAAGCGAGACATAATAGAGGAAATTGATATGATTCTGACTATTGGCCCTGTGGATTTTGAGGTGACTTTCCAGGTTTTGGACATGAAAACCTCATACAATTTCTTCCTGGGTAGACCATGGATTCATGCTGCTGGAGCTGTTCCCTCCACTCTTCACCAAATGGTTAAGTTTGAATATGAAAATCAAGAAATTGTTGTCTATGGAGAGGATGAGAAATCCATCTACTGGGACCTTTCAGTCCCGTGTCTTGAAGGTAGGGAAGGCAGCGGGCATATTATATACCAAGCCTTCGAAATTATGGTCGCCAATCAATGTGAAAAAGGGGCCCCACTAACTCAACCTTGCTTGTCTAATGCTTCGGTCATGGTCGCCACTCAAATGATTAGACATGGGTACAAGCCCAGAAAGGGGCTTGGGATATCTATGCAGGGCATCACAGAGCCTATTACTTTAATCGCCAGCGAGAAGTTTTTCGGTATGGCTTTCTGAGCTACAGAGGCCGATAGAAAATGGGATGATAAGCGCAAAGGAAAAGGGTGGGTCCTGTCCCAGCCCATTCCACATCTCGCCCAATTATTTGTCAAACCAAAATATGTGGAAGAAGAAGAAGAGGTCTTCATGGCTGAAGAAATCGATGATACTTGTGAAGCCTTGAAACAAATGCTATATGAGTCCCACATGGTCCAGCCAGGCAAAGGCACGAGCAACGCCGAAGTGCATTATATGGGGCCGGATTTCAAGTTTCAGAGTTGGAAAGCTACCCCATTCCCTGTCAGACAGGAGTCCCGGTAGTTCAGTCTTGCCATCTGTTCTACATTACGAGTTATTTTAAGGTGTAACTCGAATGTTTTTACTTTATTGTCTTTTGATTTTGACGTAAACCCTCATATATTCAATTCAATGAAATGGAATCAATATTTCATCGTCTCTAGATGTCTCTTTTCTTTATTCTAATTTTGCTATTTTTGTTATCTTTTTTCTTTTCAATTCTAATAATGCGGACTTAAATAACATGACATGCTTGCAGACTTCATGCCTAGATCCTAAAATGCTCTAGAATCGCTCAATGATACTTGGGGATTCTACGAGAGTTTGTGATCCAATTCTAAAAAGAGAGAATGTTGTTAACGGCTGTACCGGATGAATAGGCAGCGGAAACATTTACCAATGGTCTTAATCCCAAAAGTTCCGATGCCTTAAGGAAGCTGAATGGGAGTTTGTTGGAATTTCAAGCACATGGGAAGATGTTCATAACTGATACGAGTCAAAGATTCGTGAAGAAGACAATCAAATAAGTAAATCAACATCTTCTACAGCCCGGAATCAAAGTCAATTGAACTTTGATTGGAGGCATTCCAGATACCGGTTTGAACCAGACCCATCAGGATTTTAATGACTGACATGAGGCAGGGGCGTACCCTAGGCGAGTCGCCGGAAAATAACTTCGATGAAAGACAATAATTTCTATGAATGCTTGGGACTGTTGCATTAGAGCAGCACAAACCGCAACAATAAGTACCGGAAGCATCTGAAGATGGCTCCAGAACAATCTGTACAAGATGCCGGAGATAGCCCGAACTGGCTCCGGAATAAAGAAAAGGACTGGGGACTGCCAGATAAAGGACTGAGCACTGCTAGATTAGTCTGGAAAGAAATAGAAGGAATTAGAATCAAGAACTACTAGACCCAATAAATGTTAGCCTCGTCACCATTCTCTTGAAAGGTATTTTTTTTATATCCTGTAAACTATCCTATATGCAAAGTTATAAACATCTGTGTACGTTCAAGGAATGGAATGAAGCAAAACTTACACTTTCTAAAAATATTCTTGTATATCTTTGAATGAACAAAATCATTCTTAATATTTTCTCACACTTAGAAGTAAAAAATGATTACAAATCCGAACAATTGTTCCCTGATGAACATGAGACGTCCTCTTCATAAGCACCGTAAATATAAGGACCCTCTCTTATAACGGTATCAAATTAAATGGCAAAAGGTCGGATGCCTTGTTTTCCCATCGTAAAGTTAACCCGATGCATTCAATTCCCGGACTTTATCAAAATCAAAAGTATAAAATTCCTAGTCATTAACATCACCGGTCTCGATGGCTGAGAGATTACAAAAGTTTTCGGGTACTACTAAAAATCTCAGAGTCAAAAACTCAAAGAAAATTTTTTGGGTACAAATAAAAACCCAAGAGTCAACAATCAAAGAGGTACAACTAAAAATCGAAGAGATAAAACTCAAAGAAAACTTGTGGGTGGACACTAAAAATCCGAGATCAAGTTTTCTGTGATAACGATACTTCTTCAGCTCCAACCGGTCATTGAAGAAAGAATAATAAGTGGAAAAATTATCATCTGAATCCCTAAGTTCTGCACTCTTTATTCCTTCCTCCGGCTTTTATCCCGATTGGATTTTTCCGATAAGACTTTTAATGAGGCAATGACGAGGGCACAATGAGTAACCGAAAAGTGGTGGGGACTATCTGTATACGATAAAAATCGGTCTCATGAGTTGGATGAATGATGAAGCGACACATGTCAATAATGACTAGTCAACCATGGTGAAACCAGATGCAAACCTGTGGCCGAATAAGAAGCAATTCAAGATATGACCGTTATAGAAATATTACAAAAGACCCCGAGATTTCACCGGCCTTTATTAGCTTTTATTATGCTTTATTACCTTTAATTACCTCTTATTATAACATTAATTGTAGTAATTAAGGGGGCATAAGTTGTAACCATATACCTTATAGTTCTAGCATAAATAGAGGCTTTCATTCAATTGTGAGACATCAAGAAATATTGATAGCAAAAGACTAACATTCTTTTCTCAAGCTTTATACTAGTGTTATCGAGGTTTTTCAATTATTCTTGAACCCGGTGTGTACAATCTGAAGTTCATGCTTGTCTTTTCTTCAATTATTCTTATTTTATTTGCTTTGCTCTTTATTACTTTATTTTATCGGATTAATCTAACCCACGTGTCTATAAACTACGATATAATTGAATTGTACCGTTTTTCTGGTAAACAACAAAACGTGTCCAATTTCCTCCTTGGAATACCGTTTACTATTACTTATTTATTACACATAATACATACTCCTAACTCAGTTTATTATTTAATCATATATAATAATTAATGTAAGTTAACATAAGCATCAAATATGAGTACTCACTTTGAGCTAAAATATGTCAAATTGGAAGGCTGGTGTATAATTTATTTGAATGTTGTAGGGTCTCCGTACAAGTAAAATGAATTTGTAAACCATAGAGGTTCCAAGCTCCTAAACTTCTGTAAACTTATAGATAGTATGCTAATATAAAATATATCACTAATTATTTAACAAAAATAATTTCTATATTGTGTCATCCTTACATTACTAAATTTTTACAATCACTGCATTACTAATTACCGTTTTCTCAGCATAACCACCCCTGTACGTTAGAGTCCAACCGTCTAACTACTTCCTCTGATAAACAAAGAAAAAATCAGTACGTAAATGATTTCCCATAAAATAACTAGAAAACCACTTGCTGCAGCTGTAAAGAGCACACAGTTCGTCAAACAGCCACTGGTTTATCGCCTTTAGAAACTCCAAAAAGTCCTTTTCTATCAATACCACCACTTCTTTTCAGTGCCTATAAATTCAGCCTTAGCTTCAAACTCTTAGCATCATCTTCAAAATCATCAAATCAACTTGTATCAGAATACCAGAGAAACAAAAGCAATATTCATCTATCAAAAACAAAACAGAAAATTAAGAAAGGTACGATATATTTAGAAATCATGAGTTCAAACAGGAAAGCGTGGATAGTAGCAGCCAGTGTTGAAGCAGTGGAAGCTTTAAAAGATCAAGGTTTCTGTAGATGGAATTACCCTTTGAGGTCCTTTGCTCAGCACACAAAGAATAACATGAGATCTTACTCTCAAGCTAAGAAGCTTTCTACTTCTTCTTCCTCACTGATTGCAAGGAGCGACAAGGCAAAACAATCTGAAGAATCTTTGAGGAAAGTTATGTACTTGAGCTGTTGGGGTCCCAACTGATCATTTTTTCCAAGAAACATATATATAGTTGTTATTAGAAAGAGAAGAATGTAGGGCTATGATTGTAGATAGAATATAATTTTATGGCATTCGACCTCAAGAGAAGCGTGTATTTCGAAATCTTTGGAGGAATTATAAGTAAAACTATGGAATGCTGTTGATATGTTGATAAACTGATGGTTTGACAAATCATTTACTTAGTATATTGCTTCACTTAAACATGCTTGCAAATAATATTGAATGTTATTTTTATGATCTGAATTCTGAAATGGAGAAGTCGTCTCTGATGATAGTATATGTTCTTGATGTGAGATCAATACTGTCACGACCCAAAATTCTAACATGTCGTGATGGCGCCTATCTCTATCTCAGTACTAAGCAAACCGACAACATCAATAACCCACGATTTCCTTTAAATTTAAAAACGTAACGTTTAATACAATACCAAAAATTTAGCAATTTCCAATACAACACTCCCAAAATCTGGTGTCACTGAGTACATGAGCATCTAATATGAGTACAAGTCTAGAAAATACGGTCTATAATAGTCTGAGACCAAATACAGTAAATAAGGAGATAGAGAAGGAGAGACAAGGTCTACGAAACACGGCAACTAGCTCAAAATCTCCTGAAAATTAACTGCGCGAAATGATAACACCCGCTATGTTCAGGAACACCTAGATCTGCACACGAAGTGCAGGGTGTAGTATGAGTACAACCAACTCAGCAAGTAACAATAATAACTAAGGAACTGAAGATAATGACGGGCTACACAGTCATAGTTCACTTTCAGTAGTTCCAATAAAGAATAGACATGCTTTCAAATCCGGCAGTTCAAGTCAAATCAATTTTATACAGTTCAATTTCAAGTAATCCGGATATAAATTCTTTCAAAGATTTCACAACAATGACAGATAGCAACCAAGTGCAACAACAAATGCAAAGCAAGTAAAGCCTCTCAGGCAACAGTCGCTCAGCTCATCACAACAACTCAACCACTCGACACTCAGCCCTCAGCACTCACACTCAATGGGTACCCGCGCTCACTGGGGGGTATGTACAGACTCCGGAGGGGCTCCTACAGCCCAAGCGCCATAATCTGCACGGACAACTCACGTGATGCATGAACAACTCACGTGCTATAATATCCTGCACGGACAACTCACATGCCATAATATCCTTACCTTACCGACAGGCCCTCGGCCTTACTCAGTCCTCAACCTCTCAAGTCTCTCGGACTCTCATGAATCACAAAGATCAGCCCAAACAAAGATAACATAGTATATCAACAAATATCCAGAAAGACTGAGGTATAATACGCAAGAAAAATTATTACTGAGTACAAGGCATCAATTAGAAAATAATTCAACAAGTACGCGACATCTACGGGTCTCAACAGTACTATAACATAGCCTAAACATGATTTCTAACATGATTTATAGTCAAATTTCTTCAATACATAGAGATCATATAGCTAACAATAAATTATTCAACTTTACAGTTTCCCGGGATAGACCAAGTCACAATCTCCTCGGTGCACTCCCACATGCCCGTCACCTAGAATGTGTACCACCTCCAAAATAGTCACATAATACCAAAATTCGGGGTTTCATACCCTCAGGACCAGATTTGTAATCGTTACTTACCTCAACCCTTGTAATTCTTTATTCCGCTATGCCCTTTCCACGAGAATTGATCTCCAAAAGCCTCGTATCTAGCCACAATTAATTCAATTCAGTCAATACCAATTATTATAATTAATTCCATAAGGAGATACTAATTATTTTCAATAAAATCCGAAATTAACTCAAAAATCGCCTGTAGGGCCCACGTCTCGGAACCCGACAAAAATTATAGAATATGAATGCCCATCCAACCACGAGTCCAACCATATAAATTTCACCAAAATCCGACATCAACTCGACCCTCAAATCATCAATTAAAGTCTATGAAGAATTCTACCATTTTCAACCCAATCCTTACCCATTTGAACTTAACAATCTTTCCACAACCTTATTGGTATGTATACATAATACTCTTACACCCAAAAATCATACTATAAATCACCCATTTTTACTCCAAACCCGAAATTGAAGGATTGAGGAAAGAAATTCTTACCTCTTTGAAGCCCTAGCAAGATCCTTGTAAAATCTTCAAACCTTGAACACGAATTTATAGATAAATGACTAAGTCTTCACTTTCTCTCTCTAAAATGCTCTCACCTCTCTCTAAAATATCATATTTTGGCTCAAAAATGAGCTTCAAGGGCTATAAATCGAAGTTGGGTCGGGTAAAAAATTAGAAAGAATGGAAGCTCCAACGCAGTTATGCGATCGCATAACAGATATGCGGTTCGCATACCGGCCGCATAATTTGGCCTCCAAAGCTAGGCGTTACTGACCCGGTTTGCGGTCATTATACGGTTCGCATACTTATTCTGCGGTCGCATAATGCACCGCAAAACAGGTCTGCGGTCGCATAGTGCACCGCCGATTTTTCTCAAATCTTGCCCCTTTCCTGATCCACTTTGCGACCATTATGCGGTCCGCAGAGTGATTCTGCGACCGCATAGTGGCCGCATAAATGACCTTTTTCCGATAAAATTTTTCTTTACACATATATGCATTGTTTAACCTAAAAGGTTCGAGCCGTGGCTCGCAAGCTCGCCGCGAGAAATTTCTATAATCTTTGTACTAATTGATCTACCTCGGCACCACCAAACCTTAATTTCCTTAGCAAAATTTCTCCGGGGTCGTTACACATAAGTCAACATCCGGTCAACCTTTTTAACTTAAATTCTAAACCTTGGAACTAAGTGCTCCAAATTATTTCAAACCCTCACCGGACCCAAACCAATTACCTCGGCAAGCCAAATAACAACTGAAATTCAAAATTTGAGCAGTAAATAGAGAAACGGGATTATAATACTCTAAAAGACCGGCCGGGTCATTACAAATACTGCAGAACATAGTAAAAGATCTAGTAAATCAAATAGAGAAATTGACAAATACAGCTAAGTTTGATTACAATAGTCCAAAAGTATTGTTTTTAAACTTCAATCATTGTGTAATGCAATATCACCTTGCCTTCTTATGAAGAAAATTACTTACCTTGTATAAATATTTACTGTTTCAATTATGTAAATGCCTCTTAGTTTCCCACTAATGAGTAATGGCACAATGAGCTTCGTTCTTCTCCAATAAACCTGCCATGTGCTAATATAAAAACTTTCATTTTAAGAGTTATAGAAATAAGATAAGATCTGTATATACTTCCTTGGTCCAAATGGGTAACAAATCAATTTAATTCAAAGCAAGTGTCGCATTAGAAAATGAAGAAGACTTTAATTTTTATCAAAATCCATGCTTGTTTCAATAGATCTATACACATTCTTTTTTTAAAATACGAGGAAAACTTAAATAATAATTTAGTCAAATAACTTCTATAATTAATATAACAATGTTATTAAATTTTCCCCCTGGTTGACTTTATTTGATTTTTTGGTCTCTTTTTTTGTGGTCCATATTGTTTGATTTTTTCAGATATCAAGAAGGAATGAACTTCTCTTTTTCAAAGTTGTTCTTGGAGTAAAGAACCTAGGAGTATTTTTTATATTTTTAATGAACAAATTAAGGTTAATATCGTCAATTTTATTATTAATTAATACTCCTTTCGCTCCACTTTAAGTGACTCTTTTTTGCTGTTTTCACACAAATTAAATAATTTACCTTTTAATATTAATTAATAATATAATTGATCATATTAACCTTAATTTGTTCATTGAAAATACAACAAAATACTCCTAACTTTTTTTTTACTCCAAGGGCAATTTTAAAAAAGAAAATCAAATATTGTGGACCAGAAAAAAATATTAAACAATTACTTAAAAGTGGATTTCTTAATATATATGAAAACAACCAAAAAATTAAAGTGAACAAGATAGAGTAATTTTTTACATAAACGTATTTAAATTCTAACAGATAAATAAAATGATAGAAGGGGAGTACAATTACATTATGTTCAACCGTGTGACATTGGAAAGCATGTCACTCCAACATATATGTGTTTTCTTTTTTTTTTTAGTTGTGTACTTAGTACTTCCAAAATATTTTATTTTTCTTCAAAAGTCTATAATTAAGACGGAGGAGCTAGGCATGACTCCAACCTGTGTATTCCAAAAATAATAATTATACGGAGGAGGACATAAACCTCAGCCTCTATTACATAGTGTAGATTGACTAAGGCCAATCTATTGTACAACTGCAAAAAAATAATTGGGACAGAGAATGGAGGCAATCTCCTTACCTATAGACATGTACATAGCACCAAAAATTGATATTACATACAAGTTTGTCACAACTGCCCGAACCAAAATATTCTTAAGTAATAGCATCATTAATTGTAAATTAGTTCTTTCTTGTTGTGAACCTCACGTTCAGCCCCGTTTTTGTAAAAATAACCAAAAATATGAAATATTATCATTTTGTCATAAATAAATTCATCCGAGCTCAGCTTCAGAAAATGAAGATAGCGCTGAGACGCCGGTAAGAAGTGAGAGGGACGAAAAAATCATAAGCAACTTGAGGCAAAAGGTGCATGATTATGCGGTCGATCTGACAAAGGCCGAGAAAGATTTGGCAAAAGCTCGAGCAAAGTTGGCAAAAGATGCAGAACAACAAACAAGGCTAGCCCACCAGGTGAAGCAAAGCTATGATAGAGAAGTCGCGATCTTAAGGAAAGAGTTGGTCGTTGTTGAAAACAAGATGGGTCAACAAATAAAAGACTTCAGGGCTGAGAGAGAACATTGATATCCACTGATTAACCAATTGGAAGAAAGCACGGTGCAATTTCAAAACCAAAACAACGAGGCCATGCAAATAGTAGAAGTTCGGGAGCAACAGATTGGGCGATTGCTCCAGGAGAAAGGCGCCATCAAGCTTAGAATCAAGGAAATAGCCGACTATGTGGTAATGAAATGCCATGAATGTGAAAATATGACTCGAACTATGTTCTTCCACTCGGTACTATCTTTCGCTCGCTAGATCATGGCCAACCTCGAGCTCCTTCAGGAAGAGCTTACAAGAAAGCCTGCGCCGAGACCAGCTAAAGCCACTCGGGCTCCCGGAATAACATTTAAGCCTCATCTTTGTTCTTGATTTTTCAGTTTTTGAGTTTGTATTTTACC